AACATATGAACTTAATTGGTTCATATAAAAATATGAACAATAAATTAAATGACAAACAATATGAAATAGCTTATAGATCAATATAAAACATTCAAAAAATTAGTAACAAAAAGAAAAATAAAATAAAATGAATTCAACTTAAATTATTTTAAATAATATAATATGATTAAAAGGAATTTTACTTATATAAATTAACAGTTGAACAAAAGAATAAATATATAATAAACTTTTTATAAAAAGAATGAAAAAATATATTAATTTTTTATACTTTAAGTAAATTGATGTATAAATTTTGTTATATTAACACGTAATGTCTATTTTTATTATTAAAAATGCAAGAACATTAAAATCTATAAATTTTTTATGATAACTAATAGTTACCATAACAGCATGTTTAAAAATATTTATAATTATATTTAATACATTAATAATTTACGTAATCTATCATATTTACATTCAATATATATATTTATTGTATCTGATGAAAACAATAATATGAAATATTTACTCTGCAAATAACTCATTTAGTTTCTAACATTATGGATAATATAACCCAATATTTTATACCAAAAAAATAAATAGAAAACATCGCTGAATTTTAATGTTCATATACTAGGAATATTCTCCCACATAAACATAACCGTATAATGACATGGATTATAAATCCTTACGATTATGCTTTAATTTTATATAAATCCATTTATTAGGGTTATGTAAATGTATATAGGAATAATGATTTCTATATAAAATTAAATAATTATGAATATATTTATAATAATATTTTAATATAATTCCAAGCATGCGGAAAATGTTGTGAAAAAGTCAATATAGTACCAATATATTTTTAAAATGGTAATTTTTATTTCATTCAAATGTTATAATTATTTTATTATATTTCATTATATAAAATAGATAATATATATAATTCATAATTTTTAGTTGAACATACATTAATTACCACTAACTTTATACTTTTATAACACATAGAATTACCTAATCATGTAATAATTATTCAAAGGTATATAAGGCTAAATTTTTTGCTACTGCCAAATTTAAGAGAACCTTGAGATACATTGAAATTATGACTTTTATTTTTACTTAATTATTTTTGTATATGCATATAACTCCATATTTGAGCTACATTTAATGTTTATAAAATGACATAATAATTACTTTTTCATAATTTTCTATTTAGTTATAGTACATACTCACCTAAAAATATTTGCAATACGCAGAACCACAATGTTTATATATTTTTTCAAGGAATTAACATAAATATGCTATTTTTGATGTGCCCTTTTTTCCAATTTAAAAATTATTGAGCTCATATATACTGATGAAATTTTAAAATAAAACCCTAAATGTCTTTCTACCATAAGAATATTCAATAAATATAAATGTGTAGTATAGGAATTATATTTTCATTTGTAATGTTTTAATATTACATAATTAATAACAAAGAAAAATTATATAAAATTATTAATAACTATGAATAACAAAAAATATAATATATATATAAAAACAAATTATATTGTTTTCACACATGTTATAATGCTACCGATAATACGGGAACTCAATTATTTCACTTGATTAACAAATAATAAATCATATTTATATTATTAAATTCTTAAAACCTCTTAATATTAAAACATCCGTTTAAATTATAAATATAAATAAATAAGTATTTATCAACCAAATATTTAAAATGTATATATAAATAAATGTGTATAATGTAATCACAAGAAATTATACTTCAGAAATAAAAATACGTAGCAATTATTCCATATCAGGAATGCTAAGTCAGACATTAAGGTATAATAAAATACAAAAAATCACATGCTGGACATTGAATGTTACATAAACTTTATTTATATATTAATATTCAATTTATTATAAATTTCTTTAATGATTTTAATTAAATTAATAAAATTTAGCAAATATAATTTTTTACATTATCTATAAAATATATAACTATAACAATAATAGATATTTTAATTATAAAACTTATTACAAATAAGCAAACATAGGCTTGTATATGTTGTGTATTTTTTGGCTTATAATAAATGTACCTTAATGTTTTGAACATAAAAAGAACATCAAAGACATAAATATAAATTTTAAAAAGGAAAGAATAATAAATTGATTATAATATTTAATAATTGTAAATAACGAAGTACTTATTATTATATGTAACAAATATATTACGAGAACATGATCTCACATTTTACGATATTATTCTGGTAATATCACAATAATATAATAAATATTAATACAATGAATTAGGGAATATTATATATATTAGTGCATTTTTATCATATAATATATTTTACTGGTGTGCATCTTAACTAGAAAATAATATATATAATAAAAGAATATATATTATTTATATCAAAAAGCAATAATATACTAAAACATTAACAATAAATAATAGGATATTACAATAAACCTATTTATTGGTCCCTAAGCTAAGTTCAGAGTCGTTCTTTTGAGAATTTATATGTATATAATTTCTGCTGTATGTTTATGAATGCGGAATGGATAAAAATATTATAATTTTAAAAAAAATTCAGTTTTATATAATAAATATATAAATTTCAAATTTATTATGTATTATTCGAAAAAAATAATTCCTACATTCTCGTTAGTTTATTTCTTTGCGCATATGTGCTTATCGTGATACAGTTATAAGTAACAGAATTATTCCTTTTTTCCTCCAAATCAGAAAAGTTATATATTACTGTAACTTACATTAAAACTTCTTGGTGAATCTAAATTTTCAAGGATTGAATAATCTTTTGTTTTATTCCTATTCATTATAATATTGCGTTTCCTTTTATATTTTCCTACTAAAACTTTTTTTAACCAATACCCAGTTGGTGTAAACTAATGAAAATATAGTATGTGTAGAATATATTTTATGTATAATATTTGTAGACTTATTTTAAAATTAATAGAATTTATATTATATAATATAATGTAAGTTTCTTTTTATTTATATTTATAATTACTTTGCACAGTATAATAAAAAAAACTGTAATTCCTATAACTAAAGGGGCAGTAACCACACTATTTGAAGGTGAATGGACTAAGGCATCATCTGAAAAATAAATACGGGCACTCGATTCTGTATCTCTAATACCGGAAGGGGATTCTTCTGAATTTTCGTTCATTAACTGTTGTACATCTAAAGTATAAGCCGTTATTTCTTCATATTCTTTTACAACATGTGGTACTTCTGCGCCTGCTTTTTCAGAAACTCCTTTTTCTGTATCTTCCGTATCTTGACCATTTATTTCTGCATCTTCTGTATCTGGAGCTTTTATTTCTGCACCTTCTTCTTCTGTACCTCCTATTTCTCCATCTATTTCTTCACTTGTCTGTTCTCCTCCTGTATATATTCTATTCTGCTCAAGTGAATATGGTTCTGTTATTAATAATTTTTCTTGTATACTAGGTTGACCCAATCGTACAAGTTGAGATGTTGCAGGATATGTAACATTACTTACCACATTGCATTTCCATTGAGTTAAGTTTAAATTGTCCTTACCCTTAAAATATTCTTTAAAAGCTCTACAACTCTCATCCGTATCATATGATTCACTGCACATGTTTTTGCACTGAGTATATTTCATGACATATTCACCAAGAAGTAGATTAAAAGAATCATTACAAGGATTATTAGGTGTACGAACATATTCTTCTATCTTAAAAAAATCCTTCGAAAAATCAAATAAATGCTTAATATCCCTATTTTTTTTTCGATCATTGCTATATTTATTAAAATTACATGTACTCAGATTTGCATTCTCTAGTATAAATTTAAGTGTTAACATAGCATTGTAAAAGGAATTTTCATCTATTAGATTTTTGTCTAACATATCAAATAACCAAAAGTACAGATAATCACAATCTGTATTATTAAATTCCTCTATGTTATATTGATTATATGAATAACATAAGGCATTATATATTTTTTTAGAAACATTTGCAAGCACTCCCTTAGTCCCTAAAAGATTCTTTGCATTGTTTTCAATATAAGAACCATTACAATTCCCAACTTCCTTATCGAAAATATCATACTTCACTTTTGTAGGCAAGTTATTAAGTGCTTGAACCTATAAATTTAACACAAAAGATAATATATAATTTTTTATATATAAAAAATAATTTATTTAAAAGTAAATATGATATTCTACATAAATAATAATTTATATTGCATAAAAAGCCTACCCCTAGAAAAGTTTTCATTATTAACGAATGTTAAAACGTAAAAAACAAACAAAAAAGAACAATCATATATTCAGCTACGTATTTCCTAATATATTAAAAAATTACTAAAATAATGTATAAGAATATATATAGAAATATTTAGAATTATAGATCTTTTTCTATTATTTTGTCTAATTTTTTAAAAAATATACATATATAATCACTATAATACAATGTCCTATGAAATACGTATGTATAATTGCTCATAGGATATATTATATAAATATAAATATTTTATGCATTCCATGATATTTACATTATGGGTGTGAAATTAATTATTTGAAATTCTTAATTATATATATTATATCGTATAACACAGTTATAACATATATTCTCTGTGAATATAATATATAATGATATATATCAAATATACTATTGATTAAATTATATATTTTAGGTTTTTTTATTATATAAAAAATATGTTAATTTTAATTTCATTTATATAACGTACGTAAATATGGATATATTTGTATATTTCATTAAAGCAGTTACCATTATTTTTTCTAACACTATAAATTTAATAGATTTCTTAAATTTTTTTATGTTTTCTTTGGATTTATTATGTACTCCTCTATCTCTATATTATATTTGATAAAGACAATTTATATATTATTGATATTAATAATTATTTTCTAATTCGCTAGACTAAATAAATTATAATAAATTATTTTTTTTTTATGTATACCTTCATGTTATAATTATGAGAAAATAAATATATTTTATTTTACGGCGATTTAATTGGATATTATATAAATTAATAGAACTCTTTCTAAATTTATTTTTTTCTTAAAAAAAAATATATTTATTTATAATTACAAATTTACAAAAAAAAAATTTTTTAAGTATATATGTAGCCATTTCTTCGTAATAAGTATAATTATTAAATTTAAAAAATACAATCATATTTTTGAAAGGCTAAGTGTATACAATTAAATATTTTTTTGAATATCATTTATAATTATTATATAATTAAAAATGCATAAGGAGAGTTTAGTTAATACTACATTTATATGTGAAATATTGTATATTTTTGTGTATATTTTTATTAATGTTTATAATAGCTGTAACATAGTGACATTATTTACACGAAAGATGAATATTAAAGAAATTAGTTATAACAGCCTTTAAGATATACTAATAAAGTATATTGTGTTTGAAACTATGCATGAATTTTATAACCTTTCTAAATCTCATTTTTTTTATAAAATATAAGGATTTATTATAAATTATTTATTAAATTCTTAATGGCTATTAATTTTCATCTGATAATGACGCATAAGTATAGATTTTAATTAATCTTAATACTTACAATGTTTCAGTAACCAATAATTTCATAAATTATGCATATATTTTATCATAAAAATTTCAATGAAATCAAAATATAATTAAGGAATTGAAAAAATATATTATACATGAACACGTTATACTCTAATTTTTTTATAATAAAAACCTAGCAACTATTAAAAAAAGTAAATTAGGAATTATATATTATAATATAATGTGTAATTGTTTATAAAATGCAAATGTTTGTAAAAAAAAATAAGAAAAAATAATATATAAATATAAAAAATATTATTTTTTGAATATTCATATATTTCATGCATATTAAGCTTTTAATATAAAATCTAATAAGAGATAGAAATTTTGTTCTAATTTCCAAAATATATTATATTAATTCCCACATATTAGTTAAATTTCAAAAAATATCTTAATGATGCTTCATGAATTATTAGAATGCTTGTCTTTTTCATTATGAATATATACTATTTCAGTATTTCTAATAAAAAACATCTATATGGTATATATCTCAATAAATTAAACTAATAATGTATAAGATTTTGATATTCTTACTTTATAACATACAAAATTGTATGCAATAATTACAGAAATAAGTATTAAATAATGAACGTTAGAAGTTTCTTTTTGTTTCCTTATTAAGTAAATAATAAAAAAAATTAACGTGTAGATGCATGTCTCTTGTCTTTCGTTATTAGTTTCTATAATCTTTAAGCTTAGAAATGTGTTATTTTTTTAAATCTAAATGCAGTAATGCCATTTAAGATTCCTGATAACACTTATTATAAAAAATGATTATTAATTTATTATAGTTTAAGTGAATATATATGAAAATTAAATTAAATCTTTGCTATAAGTAATCTATAGTATATATCATTTACAAAGTAATCTAGAAGTTTTAATTAATGATGTGTATAATAGTCTGGGAAAGAGTTAAAAAATTAAAAGCATTGATTATTTCATTGAATTAGTTATATTCAGGAATT